AGGAGGAGAGAGAAAGAGAGAGAGAGTGAGATCTAAACAAAGAAAATGGGAACGCTGGAGATGAAAAGGAAGGAAAAAAAATAAGAAATTGCAAAAGGAGAAAGAGAGTCATTGAGAGTGGAAGAAAGGGAAGGGGGAGAAAGAAGCTGATTATTTGTAATTAATTAGGCGTTATTGTTCTAAATTAGCCTGCTACATGGGTGCTCATTAATCTTCTGTAGTGGGAAGCAGTGATTGGTAATCCATAGCTGTTTTCTGAGTGCACAGCCCGTTCTAAATGCACCAGCAGTCTGCCTCTTTCTTTCTTCCTTCCTCCTGCTTTCCCACTGATCACACAGCAAGACCTTCTACCCCATTAGTTTGAGCTTAATTTGACATTTAGCATTTTTAGCAATTAAAAGGCTGCATTCAGAGTGCACCGCTATGGAAATTATGTAGGCAAGCAGCTCAGCACATAACGTCATAGATTCAGGATGCAGTCTGTACATTAAGATGATGTATGCCGGCCTTAAATGGGGCTCTGTAACAGATCCAGTTACCATTAGACAGAGGTAGTATATGTCTCTGTGGTTTTTGAAAGAGCGTTTAGCTTCGCTACAAAATATAGAAACTGCCTTGGGTGGCTAGGACATCAGCGCTGATCTAATCTAATTTCATTCTACTCCAAGACTCGGTCTGGCCTCAGTGGGTTATGGAAAAATGCTATGGTAATGTACAAAAACATGGTGGGCTTTTCTAATGTGACAGGTAACATGGAATTAAGTGGATGCAGCACAGCCAGATCCTAGAAAAAGATCTGAAATGCCTCAAGACTCGAACACAAACAAAACCCAACTTGGACAACTTTGTGTTTTTTGTACACAATAATACTTGGACATTTTCTTTATTATTACTATTAGAGATACTTTAAACATTCTTAACTGCACTTCTAAAAAAGAAAGGACTTTTTTGCAGAGTTTTCACAAGTTCTGAATAAAAACGACAACCTGTTACAGTAAGAGAGCGGCGCAAAGCGCTGATCTTGAGAGGACCCCCATGGTAGGAGCTTGGGAGTCCCCATTTAGATTGGCGATAGATAGATAGTGACCACAAAACAAGGGGGAAATGGAGAGGGCAGCGTGGCTGTAATCCGATTTGCTAAATGCAATTCCTTCTCCAAAATCAATGTCATCTGCTACTGCAAGTCTCCATGCAGTTTTTCTCCTATTCACAGCACTTTCTTTTCTCACTTCTTGTTAAAACTTTTCTTAGTTTTGTCCTGCCCTGCTGATCGAGGCCAATGCAGATAGGCTTCATTTTTATTTTTTATTACAACCATAACAAGACAAGCTTGTAGAAAGATCCTTCCATAGCGTGCAGTAACTTGCACTAAAAGTCAGAAAAACACTTCGGATCTCCACCATTTGGTTATCATTAATTTCATACAATATATATCTTGTAATATGTAATATTTTAAATATATGAATGCTGGAAATGTGCAAAATGTTAACTGCTGGATAACCTCGACAACACTTGATGCACAGCTCTTTATCTAGCATTAGATCCTCACTTTCTTCCTTTGTCCAGTCGTCACAGGATCGCTCTCTAAACTCTTTGCCAAGAACAACAGCTTGAGTCAGGTGTGTGTGTCTTAATAATCTTAATAATCCCAGAAGGCAAAGACTGTTTTGCTGAACTACTATTCCTGTGATGTTTAGCACCCCTTCACAAACTCAAACAGACTAAATGATTACACTTGGGGTTTGAGCGAAGAATTTTAATACCTTAATGCGTATTAAATTATGTCAGATATCTTTGCTCCTCTCTGCTTATCGCCATCTTTGTGGTGAAAAGTCTGGCAGGTGATGACGATAGTCAGCAGTGGAAGTGTGAAGGGCATCGGGACCTTCACGCCCCGATCTCTCCCTTTCGGAGAACTCCTCGTTCTCAAACTGATTTGTGTGCAGAGACGGACGAGGGGCACCTTGGGTGGGTTGTGTGGGCAGAGAGTGGGAGGGCTGTTGTGTCACCGTGCCCACCTGCAGAAACATCTGTCTACTTAGAGACACTCGTGCAGATACACTAATGATTGATGTGAATAAATGCACATATGAACACACAAACACACACGTGTGTGTGGGGAAACTATACACACAGCAACTTAATGCAAATAGTTTTTTCTTATATCGTCTCCTCAAACTCTAAATATGAAAATTAGAATATCAGCAGGTATACAATATTTGTAGTTACCTTTGTTAGTTAGCATTGTATTTCTAATGTCTGCAAATAAAAGGAGAATGTAAATACTACTGCTAAATAAGGTAACACAAAGTCATCTCTTTTACTTCCTATGGAGCAGCTGTGCTGTCAGCAAACTCGCCAATATGTCAAAAGTAGCCATAAGTCATTAAATGTCTATTGAAACCATCAAGAAAAAAAAAAAATTAATAAACAGCACTGGCACAAATAGCACAGTAACAATATCTGTCCCTAGTGAAGCGGTCTCTAGCATGTAAATGAATGATATCACAAAAAAAGACAATTTATTTTATCTACAAACGACCTCTTTTTTTAAACTGCATAAAATAATTTTTGGTGTCCTACAAACATGTTCTAGACAGCCCCAAAGGAACCTCTTGTTTATCATTTTATCGTGCAGCCAAAAGAGTGACAAGATATGTGTAAAAATTCAACAGACTGTGCTTTTACTGTACACAGTGATCATTCACCCAAACACCCACTCTGAGCCAGGAAAAACCCACAAATTTAACACAAGAACAAAAAAGGTAAAAAGCAGACATGCTGCTGCTCATCCCACTCAATCAGCCAGAAATCTGAACAGCCAATACTCAGATCACAGATAACTTACATGAAAAATAATTTTTAAAAACAAAACTTTTATAGCTAGACAGAAATTCCTGTGTATTAGAGCCTGTAAATGATAATAAAACTCTGTGTGTAATGTCTAATATTTTTTTAAAGCCATCCTGCATCAATAGAAAAAGTATTTTCAGTGCGAGTCACAGACAACTTTTCAGTCCGTGCTCAGCTTCAAGTACAGCATCACTCTACAAATCAAACTGACAATTTTACCATGTTTTACACAAGGCAAACTCAATCATAAAAAGTCTTTGTAAAGAGGAGGTGTGCAAATATGTGTGAATGCATATATGCGCTTATCAAGAGGCTCCCGGTGGGCTGGTTGTATTTATGAGGCCTTGTTTCTCTGATTGTTCTCGCGCAGCTCCCATGAATATTCAATGTGATCAGAGAGAAGGGCTTGCTAGAACTCGAGAGAGAAGGAGGGCAAAAAGAAAATGTGCCTGGTAACTCACAACAGACGCACGCGTGTGCAGGGACGCGCACACACACGGACGCACGCACAAACGCACTACAATCGCGCGCACAAACACAGCCCTGCAGCAGTGGGAGGAGATAGCAACAGTGACAAACAGCTTTGGTGCTACAAAGGTGGCAGGAAATCTATCAAACGGGACAATAAAATTGCAATTGAGTTTCTTTAGCTTTTTTTATAGCAGATGCATGCATCTTGGTGGGACCTGCTGCAAGTTCAATTCAGAGGCAGTTCCCGGCCCTCTGTGTATTTGTGTGTGTCACATTGTGTGTGTGTGTGTGTGTGTCACATTGTACAAGTGCATGGGTTTATTCACCCACTGTAAGGGTGAAATTCAGCAGGAACAACTGTAACTTCAGTCAAGAAGAAACAGCATTAATCTTGCTGCAAATACACCACATTGTGGGAGGAAGAAAATAACTAGAGTTTATCCCTATTGTAAAAAAAAAAACAGCTAAAATATTAGCATTAGTATTTTTCACGCTCCCCAGCAGTCTATTTCTTTTTGAAATATCTCAAGCCACTCAAGCTTGCAGCAGCATCTGCTGTTGTGCATACGTGTGTTACCTTTTCAGAATTTCACTGACACTCTTCTACAATATGCTGACCAATATTTTCTTCTTCTTGAGTCCTTATCATTGTGCTTCAGTGTTCAGATGTGTGGGAGTTTTAAAACACCCCACATCCAACACACACAGCAGCCTACATGCCGCTGATCTCCCTGGCAGTCTTTCTGTGCCCCCTGTTGGATGAAACCCGTCACGGCACTCCAGGCTACAGTGAAGCGTCTCATATCACGAGCACTTCTTTAACTCAACTTTCAATCTGCCAGGCTTAAAAACCCCCCAGACCACAATCTGACACCAGCCTCAATTACTTCACTGCTCTGGAACAGAGGAGCGCAATATGATATCAACACTGAATTTCTAAAGCAGTATTTTGAATTCAGGTTTTGGAAATAAAACGTGCCAGAAGTTTATTTTTATCTGTGTGATCTGAAAGAAAGAGACGCTATACATAAACACAGAGAGGGAAGGCTGAAGGGATTCTTTCCAATTGGTTTATACTGAAACTAGCTTTTAAATTACAATCACTATATAGCTTCCATAGCTTTATCTGATGGGCACCGGGACGCAAGGTTCAATTACCCCGCTCGCCTCTGCTGAAAGTAACCGGGCGAGATGATAATGCTGTGTGATTCTTTTATTTGATGAATTGTGTTGTGTCGCATTTGAAAGTAAAGACATGGGTGGGAGAACTGATTGCTTTGAATGATCATTGCTTTCTGTTTGGCAGGAATTGAAAAGGAGGAAGAGGCTTGTGGTTACAGTCATGTTGTGAGTGTTTAAGGCTGACGATACTTCAGCAAGACGGTGAGTGTGTTTGCTACAGAAAGATAATGCTAAGATGTTAAAAAGAAAAACAGACGAGGAAATGGAAGAAGTTTGTAGAGAAGGATAAACAAAGCTGTGTGTGAGCTCTGTGTGCGGGGATATAATGAGCTGACCTTGGAGTGCGTGATGGACAGGGTGTCCACCCAGACTCGCCAGCCGCCCCACTCATACTTGATGGCGTGGTAGAGCAGGATGCGGAAGATGGCGTACACCATCTCTGTGATTTTCTGCTCCTCGTTGTTTTGCGGGTTGATGAAGCACAGAGAGAGCATCCACTCCTGCCACACCGAGCACTGCAGCAGGCTCCTGAAAACAAACGGCAGCAAATGAGGAGGTGGCGAATCCCACGGGCGCCTAAACGCAGCGTGCACTGACGTGTGATGTACTTCTCTATCCTTTGAATCGGTCCGATTCTTACCTGCGGTTCTCTCGGCTGTTATTGAACAGTTTGATCATGTCTGACAGAAAGACCCTGCGCACCTCCATGCTCTCTTGAGAGGGGGGAGAGTTCTTCAGCAGAGCAGCTATTACCTTCAGAATCTCTGGAAGAGGAAAAAAAACAGACTCTGTTTACAGTCTGAGATAAAAATGCTTTATGGAGTTTAAAAAAAAAAAAGAAGCACCAGTGCTGGAAAATATCGAAAATACTGCGTCTGCTTTGTGCATTTTGTAATGTAATACATAACAGCCAAGCAGTATTTTCAAGGCTTATAAAATAACATTTGAATTTGGAAACACCCAGCATCGTGTTTGGATATACACAAAAAGGATTGGTCGCAGGAGGGGAAACCGAGCAAATCAACAGCTATATCATACATTGGTTTCAACATGTGCAAATCATTGTGTCACAAACTATCTGAACTTGCAGCTGTGCACACCTGAAAATCTGCGCCCGTGGTAAGAAAAACAGAACAGAGGAGAATAAAAAGCCCAGAGCCATTGATCTTTATCATACTGTAATGGCTTTGGTATTGTTTCAAATGAGAGCGCCAGAGTCACAGGCCCTTCTGAAATGCTTGGCTTCGGTTAAACCAAAGAGACTGACTGTTTAGATGAATTATCTAGACAATGTCAGTGTCCATTTGCTCTGAGTAGAGAGACGGTAGGGCTTGGATTTCACTCGTCTCTTCAGACCTTGGCGCTAACCGATGCCCCCTTGCCCCGGCAGACAGTTGTGTTGTTTCTACGCCTTAGTCACTCAAATTATGAGTCGCTGAACCTTTACCGCCAGAAAATTACCCCAGCATGTACCGGGAATGAGGATGGAGGGATGGCGTGTTCCTTTCTTTCTTTTTTTCCCTTCTTTTTTCCATTTGCTCTTGGTTCTTTTCCCTCGAGTTAATTTGAGGGAAACGGTACTTCCTCGGTTTGTTTGATTGGCTCTGACGTTACTAAAGACTGCAATCAGGGGGCCATTTTGGGAGTTTGTCACAGATTAAATCAAGAGAATACACGGCAAAGGAGAAACAGACCACCAGTCTATGTTCCATACAATATGCTCACAAACCCATACAAGGTTCCTATGATATATACCGCCTGTCCAGGATGGTTGGGCAGGAGAGATTTTAACGCAATAAAGGCCTGGGATAATCAATGTGTGACTACACAAAGACCTTGTCAGATTAAGTCTGGCTGGATGTAAACCGTGCTTGTGTTTGGATTTCAGACTGATTAAAGCTTTTCTTTTTTTTAGCTGCATGTGCATCTAGGAAAGCACCAGTATAAAAGAGAGTGGGATGTTTTCTTTTCTTGTTTGAAATGAACACTTAAGATTTCAACAGAGGGAGAGATTTGGTGAGTTGACGTAAAATTTGAGGTAAGTAACAGCCTAAAAAAAAATAATAATAAAAGTGACCAAAGCCACCATCCTGGGCTGTGTTTATCCCACCTATAATTAAATATAGAAATGTGAAGCAAACAGATAATGGCCAAGTAATAATAGTTATCAGCTATGCAAATATTTTTCATTTGAACATTCATTGAAAATAGCAAAAATTATATAAAAGTTAATTATTGTACAATTAAAGACACAACAAGAAAAATTTAATTTAAGAAAAAAAAACCCATTAAAAATCTAAACTCACCATTAATTAAACCTAAATGCATTAAAAACACAATTATAAACTGAATAAATTATTATCGTGTCACTACATTTATCTTTCCTTTATATGTAAAATAATCCCCGTGAAAAACAACGCCGAGGCTCAATAAAACCAGCAGACGAGTGTATATTTGTCACACAAAGTGTTTGCACCATCCTCGTGTAAGGTTTACATCTGAGGTTCAGGAGTCTGAAAATACGCTCCGGCTGCAAAATTTATGTCGTTCATTTGTTTGACGGTATATAGCGATCGCACGGTTCCACGGGGAATATCCTCCTGCGGCACAGAGCCGTAGGTATGTAGAGGGTATGCTGCGGCAGATGATTTAGGGGAGCGGTGCGGCGCGGAGGAGGCACTTACGTGGGTTGAGAATCTTCACAGTGGAGTCGGGGTCCGGATGCTGTTTATGGATCACTTGAGTGCAGATCTGCTCTGTAAGAATCTATCGGGGGATTCAAGTCATAAATGTCCACATAAGTCTTAAGGATAACAGAGAAACAAAGCACAGGGATATCTGCATGCTTCTAAATTATTTCACAAATCAAATTTCTGTTGGTGGTCAACCTAATGTGTTATTGCATTTTCATGTACAAACAACTGAGACAGATTAGAGAATAAGGCACAAATTTAGCATATTGGGGGGAAAAAAAATCGGTCATGTGGCTGAACACAGAGGTTATTAGTGTGTGTTTTGTTAATAGAAAGCTTTCACTCTGCAAGCACGAGCCTCGAGGGCGAATGGGCAGCATACAGACCTCAAAAAGCACATTGTACATTGTCATGGTGAAGTGGCTGGAGTGAAGCATCAGGCGTTCGGTGAGCAGGGAGAACAGGCCATGACTTAGCATGACCTCTGCTTTCCTCCTGATCGAAATGATAAAAAGGTCAAAGGTCGGTCAGCAGTCGTCAGTATTTGCTTAAACAATTGTTATTTTAGAAAACATGATAAACCAAACCTATATCAGTCTGTAGAAACACAGAACCAGAATCTCAATTTTAAAATCAATATTAAAATCAATGGTGAACAAAACTCTTTACACTATAAGGAATAACAAAAGCAAATCTGGAGTGTGTGATAGCTCAAATGTTAATAAAAAATAAAAAACGGAGGCGTGTTAAGTTAAAAAAATCTTTACATGCCTCTGTTTGAAATCTGCAGCGGTACAAATCAGCTGTGCTCTTGCTAACATTTGACAAGGAGGAAATGAAAAAGAGAATCCCCGCTGACGAAGCCTGGGTTTTTGCTTTCTTTGTTGCTTTCATCTCTAATCATTCATCAGCCCCACTTTTACTTTTGTATCATAGCCTCGAAAACTGAACTACTTGCAGATGTGCACATGTGGATTTCAAGGCTTAAAACTGCTGCAAAGACGATGGTTAGAGTTGTTTCTTTAACTCCTATATCAATACAAGCTGCACAGTATCAATGGTGATTATTAGCCAAAACATTAGAATTTCATTAAGTAAATTTACATTAAGTATCACCAAAATGGCAATACTGACATGCTAAATTCTTATTTTACTAAGTTATTTTAGTGTGTTCTGTCAGCATGTGGGCTAATACAAATTAAATGTTAACAAGAATCCTTTTAAAAATGGGTTTTAGCTATAATACAGTTAAAATCAGGATAATTAGAAAATGCACTGAATTTTTAGAATATAAAGAACTCCAACAAAACTGTTAAGAAAATATCCAGTAAGCATCTAAATAAAACTCTTAAATTAACAAGGTTAAGGACTTTTTCCCTCTTATTTGCAAAAATTTTGAAGAGCCCTTTTCCCCCCTTTTTATTTTACAGTGCAGTACAGAGGAAAACGACACGTGGTTAGAGACAGAAGATCCAGCTTGTATGCAGTGATAGTGCAGAGTCAACTCTATTAAAAAAAAAATCTACCAGTGCTGGCTTTCTGTTGTTTCGTCACTTAGTAAAAGTAAACAGTAAAGTAAAAATGTATTCTTTTTTGAAATGTATGCTTCTTGTATGAACAAAGACTTCTAATAAAGTACTTACTTTGGTGACAAGTGTTTCAGAAAGTAGCCCAAAACTTTGAGTGCTTGGACTCTTATTCCCTCATTTTTGGCGGCCAAAAGCTTATAAATCACACTGTGGGACGAAAAACAGTTAACAGTTAAGCGTTAACAAAAAGAAACGAATACATGCATATTAAATTCTGATATCTTATGTATTCTTAAGCACAGGGCTGAAACTAAGAAATTCAACCTTTAACCATTCACACCGTTTGTAAAGGAGCTCATGAATATGGATATAAAAGTCGATCTTTACCGAATCCCATTCCGCTGGTCAAAGGCCTGAATCATGGATCCAGGATGCTCAGACATGAGAGCGACCAGCAGCTGCAGCACATCCATGAGATTGTCGTCCTGAGGAACATAAAGGAAGGAGACTGAAGCTATTGTAGTATTAAAAAAGGACAGTGGGAAACGAGCCAGCTTTATCAATGATGTCTAAATTATGAGGGGCTTACAGTGAACTGTGTATTTAAATCTAAGCTAAAAGCAAATATATGTCTAGTCACTAATTGATATTTATATTTCTGCCTTGTACAGCAGTGGCAGTAGCAGCAATAATACATGGAATACATCACAAGCGTCTGAACTAAAGAATTACAACATACAGGCTGTGCAATGTATGGCTGCTGCATGATGGTGGCTTTTCCAGACAGTGCTGTAAACACCATTTAGGTTCACTGCGTTACTGACTGATCTGAATGATTCATTTGCTATGCATCACTTCACTGTAAACAACCCCACTTCTGTCAGGACCTCAAACTGGCAGACTTGGAAGAATAACAAGAACCAGTAATGCAGCGTTTAGAAACAGGAAGTGTTTGCTCATGCTCTCCACATCACATGGTGAGCCACACTAAATGCAGTGTGCGGTACTGTGTTGCCATCTGGTGGTGAGGTCTCTCTCTCTCTCTGCTGGTCTATGCCTACCTCATGCATGGTTAGGAGGTAGCTGAGGATACTCTGTAGCTCATCTTCCTTCACTCCATGATCCTAAAATGCAAAATGCGCAGATTGTTTTAACAGCGCAAGACTGGAAAAAGAGGTGACTAAGAAACAACATTTTTAACCCCGTAAACCCTAAAAATGCAAAGCACAGATTATAATGATGAAACTTTTAATGATATTGAAATCCCACATACTGTAATAAAATATATAGGCAAGTGTAATGTATGCATTACAATATAATGAAAAAAAAGTCAGATATAGCAAATATAATACATTTATTTACCAACAGACAGATCAAAGGTTAAAGGTTTTAATCCTCCTAAGGACAAGAGAAGTGCATGCTGAGTTACAACACATGCCTGAGGAAGAGGCATGAGCTTACCTTCATTATGAGCTGCTTGACAAACAGCAGCAGAAAAGCTCGCAAAGAGAGTATCTCCTTCTGATTTGGCCTTGGACCTTCTGAAAACCCAAAGAGTTCAATGGCTGTTTAGCGTGGTTAACAAAAGAAAGGCACGAAACTACAAGATTATCCATTATATTTTGTAAAAGTTCTATATCACTTGAAAGGACTTGCATACAATGTGAGTGTGCTTGTATGTGTGAATATGTGTTTTTGTGCACATGTGCATGTGAAAGTTTAATCAGGGGTGTGATTATGTCGTAATTGCTGCATATTTTTGCATTTTGTGTGTAGGCTCACCTAGGCCTTTGGGTACGATTCCACTGCGGTCCTGAGGGTTGACAACCCAGTAGTAGAATTTTAGTGTATGCATGATTTGAAGCACAGTGCCCACCCTGCGAACAGCGTTGTAAATGGTCACTGTGCTGATGAACTCTGTTGCCAGGTAGGTGTAGAGTGTCAACTGCACCTGCACAGGTTATAAAAGCAAATGAAATGTAAATGTGCATGCACTCAGGGTCAAGTCCTGTTTTACTGTGTCCTTGCTTTTTGTTCCTTTGAGAGGCAGCTGGATGCTTGGAAAACTCCTAAGGGTTTAACTGAGTCATTCTCGTTTTAATGGCAGTTACAGGTGGAGGGATAACCTTGAACTAGGGCAAAAGCACAGAGGGGCAAATCTGTGTGCAGTACAAATTCATTTCTACATCTTTTTAAACGTAACCAAAAAATAATGTAGCCCTGTGTGTTACCTTGGCAGGGGCATGGATCCAGATGGCAGGGTTGAACAGAATGTGGTCACACAGCTGCTTGAGCAGCAAGATCCCATTCTGCAAGTTGCTAAGGTATCTGGAAAAGGCCAGTACAATGTCCAGGACGGGCCTCGTCACATGCACCTTGGAAGACTGGCGCAGAGAGAGAGACAAGAAGGCACAAAGTGACACAAATGGAGGTGAGGGAGGGAAAAAAATTCATAGGAAGTACAACAGTAAAGAGGCGGCAAAGTGATGAAGGGAAATAGTCTGCCTAACAGACTCATAAGAGTGACTTCCAAGCAAAGTCAAAGGAAGAGTATAGTAAGTGTTAATGTGTGCCTGTGTTAGTGTATTTGCAATGGAGATGAATTAATATTAGGGTTACAGCTGTGCTGGGATCATTTCCAGGACAGGAAAACTGTCTTCTTGTCAGTTAAGCCAGTTTACTCACCTTTTCCAAAGTATAGCCAATGACGAGGAAGCCTTTGCAGGCCAAGACCTGCTCTTGCATAGCCACTGAGTTCTTCAAGAGCTCCATCACAAAGGACAGCAAAGTGCAGCTAAGAGCCACAGAAAGAAAGACAAACAGTGACAAAGAGAAAGACAGACTATAAGTCAGACAGTGACAGTGTATGTAAGCTGCTGACAAAGCCCCGACTGTCAAGTACACATCATACAGGAAATGTGATTGAATGAGGTTGTGTGTCTCCTTTGTGCTGGGGTAACAGTTTCAACCTAGCATCACCTTGAGGACTGCAAAAACATCCACAATGCAATTTAGAAGTAATAAACAAAGCAACGCATGTATTAAACTAAACATTTAGTAAGGATAAAATAATCTGAGAGTAAACTTTTAATTTAACAAGCAGCGTACACTATTTAGACCATTCAATTCTAGAGTCGTTAAGAAATAATAGTACAATATTGATTCACTGTTACTCTGCACGCTTCATAGCCCTTGAAGTAACAGCCCTAATAAAAACACCATATGTGTTACAACCAGAGTGGTCTTAATGACAAATGAACAAAAGCCTCCTGATTATTCACTGCTCGGCTTACTACTGTAGTGCACGTAAGTGGAGTTACCAGACAGAGGTGTCCAGCTCGTTGCTGGAAGGCTGGCAGTAATCCAGCTGTGCAAACAGTGGGAAGAGGACCTGCACACCACCAATAGAGTGTATGCCGCTCTGGACTGAGTGAGTCACCACAGCTTTCACATCCTACAGAAACACACACACATATAGCCACGTTACACATGTAATCAGCATCGCACAGGGTCACACAGATGTTCATTTCTTCTGATAATTACAGGGATATGTAACTACTTTGGGGGTTTTATTGCCACAGCATAACATAAGAGCCCTCATTTGAATCTTTGGCTGTTGCTGCCTGCTTACCTCCTAACCTCAAACCATAGTTTTGATATTTCCTCTTATTTACTGTAATGTTTTATAATATTTTCCCCCAAATTTATATGGATGTTGCTCAGTGTTTGAGAGGGTAGACACAACTAATGGATGAGAAAAACAAACCGAAAAAAAGTGAGAATTTTCCCCCCTTCTTCTATAGGATTGGAATTTTTGAGCATGGAATAGCAAAGCTGCAAATATAGGTCACACATTCATTCATATTTCACACCGAGTGTATTTGTGTGGTGGAGGGAGCATATGTTTATGTGGCGGCAAAGGCCTCCCCCACAGAGGAAACAAAGTACTTTCTTTGATGAGAGGGCATGAGAGAAAAACTCAATTAGCGCTCGAGAGGAGAAAACTCAACATGATTGAAGAAACAGTTTTACACGTGTGGTGCACATTTCTCTGAGCATATTTATGGGTATGTGTACTATGGCAGAATTTGGAAAGTGTCCATGCACTAACACCATATACAGCTACAAAAGAAAAATGCACAACTACTCAAATGTAGTTCCAAACTAAATCTCCCAGAGAAAGCCAATTTTATAATTAGAGCACCAGGATGGCATTTTTCAGCAGCTGCAGCAGTCTGCCTGGCTCAACACATTCGCTCCTCTGCCCTAATGAGGCTATTAAAATGAAAAGATGCCAACTGGGCCACTTTCATTACCGTGTGGGAAGAAAGACAGAGTAAAGAGTGGTACATATGGAACAGCGGGAGGGAAGGAGCAGGTGTACAGGTGCTGAATGAATTTAGGCAGTGAAACTGCTTTAATGTTGGTGCTGTATGGTGGCTTAAGGTTAAAGCAATGCTATAAATACCAACTCCAATGGGCGGATGGCTCTAATATGATAGACGCACTAAGTGTTAACTGTGAGGGTGTAATTACCTGCAGCATGAGCGCATGGGGTGAGTGGACGAAAATGGAGACATTGTCCTTCGGGGAGGACTCGAGGCAGAGCTGGGCGTCTGTGGCTCGGGGATTGTAAGTGAAGGCAATACTAGAAGACAGCTTGCCGTCATACAGTAAGGTCTTATGATGCTCAGCGAACAACAAGTCACTCTCAGCCTTGTACTTGAATGTGCCCTGAGCAAAAAGACAAAGAAAAGGGCAAAAAGTGTTTAGTAAAAAATTACATTAGACAGTCTCTGCATCGTTCTCTTAAGTGTCTTTCTGCAACCCTGTTAACCAAACAAAAAGGCCCGTTACAAATACTGAATCAATGCAATCATCTGCAAATTATACAATACTTCAAAGACAAGACATTGCATGTTTAAACAGAGAAATCTTGCTTTTGAAAGACTATATGTCTATTTTTAATTTGATCCCAGTTGTGGAGTCTTAAAAACAGACCTGTTGGAGCATGAACTAATTAGGTTCATTAGTAAAGACTGAGACAGATCCACTGCTCAAAGACTGCAAGGACAACAAGACGCACTCAGAGCACAAACATCCATGAGCAGCTCACTCACTGGTCAGCTCTTACTTTTAAGGGAGCAATACTGTAGTTTGTATTCATTCAGCTACCTTCTTTCTTCTTTTTAAAACATACTTTATGTCCATGTAGTACATTTGACATGATATCTTAAATCTTTATACATACATGCATACTGCAACACATACCACACTGAGGATAATAGGAAGAACCATTGTTTATAAGTTTTCAGGCTTTTAGTCCATTCTCAACCAATAAATTATTTCATTGACCTTGAAGACCTCAGTGAATGTAAGCCAAACTGTAATGAATTATTAACATGACCTCAATCTTTTTGAGCTATCGTGTTTACAGACAGATGCATGTAACCCCTACCAAAAACATAACCTCCCAGAGGTAACTAGCTCATCAATATAAATGAATGTTTCTTAACTTGTATACCAAAGTATTTTAGATTACAACACATTAAAGGACTTGGATAATATATTGAAATCTCTGTAAGCATCTATGATTACTGGCTATGATCCAAAAAACACCACTGCTGTTTATTTAATATGGACTTGGATGATTTTTCTAAATGTGAAATTCTTCTTGGAAACCATGGATGTTGCGCCCTGTTGTGGCCACCCAGCTTGTTATCATTATGCAGTTAAAAAGTAAGCATAGCTCCAAAAATAAGATTCCAGGTGTTGCCTCCAGTGCAGAGCTGCCACCCACTGAAAACATTTTACACATGAGGAAATGAAAAACATGACGCAGGGATGTCATAGTATCCAAGAAAGTAAAGTAAACAACCTGCAAAGGTACTAAAATTGCCCTTCTTAATTCCCGAATGTTTAAAATGTTGACCAAAGGAGAGAAGTCATGTCAGTATATATTTTTTCCTCTCTAAGATGCTCATTATTATAACCAATCATGTTACTGAACTTTTTACAATTAGTAGCAAAAATGTTCCTCTAGAGTTGCACATGTCCAAACTTTGAGATTTTTCAAAAAAATAGTAAGACGTGTCAGTTTAAACATTTGATAATCTTTTCTATGTTCTGCTGTAAATAAAATACAGTTTCATGCTTTCCAACCTGGTAGCCCGGACCCAGCTGATAGATAGCAAGGATCTGAGCAGCGCTGAGAGCTTCTCCAAACAGGTACACTGCCCCCATCTGTCCGCAGAACACACGGTTGATATCTGCCGTCTCAGACGATCCCAGGAAACACTTGTCAAATGTCTGCAAAGGGAGGAAGCAGGAAGGGAGGAAGGAATTACGAGAGCACCAAAAGGAAAAAACAAAAATAGACAAAAGAAGAAAAAAAAGAGGTATGACGCGAGGAAGGAAATAAGGGGTGACGACAGATGGGGGTGGGTAAACAAAACCAAAAAGGAAAAGAAAAAAAATCAAGAGAGAACAGCAGGGAAAGACACACTGATGTTAACTCTAGCTTTAAAGCAGAAATATTAAGAATGATAAGATCACGTTTTCTTCAAGAAGCCAATTTGCTTTCTGTCACATCTACAGGATTACATTACACTGTGATGGCACAATAATTCCAAACATAATGTAATGTTACAATCTTTTATCTCAGCATGACAGAAAGCAATCCTGTGGACTGTGACAGAGTTCTGAAGTGTGAAGTGAACACAGTCTTCATTTAATCATTTCACACTGCATTTTCCATGCTTCACAGATGGATCGAAAGGAAAGCCCTCTGAAAGCAAAGACTGTGAGTGGATGTGCGTAAAATCCGGCAAGATAGTCGGGGTGTTATTTGTTTGGTTTTGAGTGACAAAACTGATACTTAAACAGAAAACCTGTTAGAGCACCTATATGTCTAACCCCCACATGCTACAATCAATGTCTAAATTTTAGGCATTTTCTACATGAAAAGCAAAACATTTCTCCCCAAATCTCACACTCCTCCTTTAATTCTGTGAATCTGTGCAGACATTAAATATTACAGGAGCTGTTAGTAGCACCAACTCCTGTCATGCTTTTGAGAAAAAGAGAAAAAACAAAAACTATTAAACTGTTGCTACTTACGTCACTGGTGTTGACAAACCAGGCAATGTCTCCAAAGGAAGCCAGTTCACCGTTCACAAAGCAGGCAATTTCACTGTTTTTCCAGCGGTTGTAGATATGAACTAGAGTCACCATGTACCACTGTAACAACCAGAACAAGCACACTTTCACACAATGGAAGTGCATCAATCAGACCAACACACACACACATCATGTTATCAGCAAGTCAGTACCCTGTGTCCTCTATCACTGTAATTCAGTCATGTTTCATGACTCACTGCCCTCAGCTATGATCCCACCTTCTGCTTAATGTTTGCTTCTAGTTTTACTTCAGCTTTGCAACCAGTGAAATAATAAATAGTTTATTATGTGAGAGAACAAGCATTATAACCATGTAAAAATCAACTAAAATGAGTCCTCTTGGGGTTTGGTAAAGTAAGATGACTCCTTCATGCTCCGGGGAAAAAAAACAAAAAACCCAGAAACTTTCAAATTGCTCGCAGACCGTGGTTTCTGAAACTAACAGTTTTCAATGCGTGCTTTGTGTGGAAGGAACAGAGCCCTGGATAATCCTTCTCTCCCACTGCCCTCCTTCCTCCATCTTCTAGTTTTGCTTCTCCCCAGAGTCAGGTAAGATGTGGCAGCTCATTTTTAAAGGAAGGGCTAGATTTATCGTGTGTGCACATGTGTATTTGGGTGTATGGATGTGACTGATTATGTGTGCGCTGACATATGATTTCTGTGATCTATTTACAAGGATTTGCCTTTTCATGTGTTTGAATATTTGGGTACAAAACACTGTATTTAGCTTCGTTTTTGTTCCTTTCGTACCTTCTGCGGTTTGAAGTCATACTTTACACAGTGCTGGAATCCTTTCCCCTTCGATTTTAATGAGGTCACTATCAAACAGCCGCCCACAAAGTGTGCCGAGTAACCCATGCCTTTGCTGGTACGGAAACTGAAACAAAACGAAGGGGAAATACAAACATGTAACTTTACTTTGGAAATGATGCTGCACAGTTTTATACTAACTACTGTACCTTTTAGTGGCAACGTGAATTACAGTTTAAAAAAAAAAACATTTTCAAGGGAATTTTTAAAGCATAAAAAAACAATCATTTCTGAACCTCGCCAAGTCTTCCCATCCTTCTCAGTGTCCCAGAGAGATGGGGCCCCTTCATGTGATTTAGTGAATATCTCTCTTGTTAAAAGGGCACCAGACTGAAGGGGGGGGGGTTTTATTAAGGATTCTCTCAGACAGCTCGTTGGCTGCCCGGTTTGCTTACCGTTTTCACAGCGGCTTAAGCAGACCCCTGCTGAATAAATGAGATTTTGGCAGAAATGAATGTTGGTTGAAAATAAAATGTTCAGAGGGTTTGTTTTACTTGTTCCTCAGAGATTAAACAAAGTATGAAGACATGGGGAAAAACAACCTTTGAGGCTGGAGGGAGTGGGTTTCAAAATAAATCATCTTGGTGGGAAAATTGACACGCTCACCTTTCGTGCAGTTTTCTTTGTATCTAAACTATGTCCTAAAGGCGAAGTTGGCACTCCTGCGTTCCACTTGTGCCAAGTTCAAACAAAATTAACATTTAAATGGCAAAGAGCAAAGGTTCATGTTCACTCCTTAATATTTCGAAAATTCTTGTGTACCTACCAGTACAGGTAAGGCTTGTCTTTGTCTACATTGATGTTGTTGAGTGGATCCATGCGGATCCACGTGTGGAATGTAAACCCATTCTGATATGGCCATTTTGCTATGGGGGGCAGAGCTATTGCCTGTTATGGGAAAACAAACAGAAGAAAAAACAAAAAGCATCAGACACTGATGTAGGATCCCGGCCAACTGTGGAATGAAATGAGCCTTCAAATATTAACTAACACTGTTCAGTAGTGCAGTAGCTCAGTCTGAAACCCCACAAAAACAAAACAAAAGTGAAGAACAGCTGGAAAACATTTACTCTAAATCACATTCCTGTCTTACTGTTTCATTAGCAGAGGTATGTGCACTGTACACAGCACGCTGTAGAAAAGCACAGACACGTAATAGCTGCATTTAGGTGAAAAAGAAAAAAATGAAACCACAGCTCACAAGGCGGCGTGCTGCATCTGTACATGTGTCATCATCTCAGCAGATGGTTACACACAAACAGGAAACCACACACAAACATGCAGTATGTTAAAGGTGTGAGTAGACTAATGAAGTACTGAGGAACAGATTTAAACACATCTATGTGCATTAGACATAATGAAAGGTTCATTTAGCTTCATGTTTTAATGCTCCTTTTGCCCTTTAGCCTGCGTCCATGTATTTAAAAACACTGATTATAAGGCATTTAGCTCCAAAGTTTAGTAGCGATTATCAATAAAGAACAACTGGGACATATTCAAATATGACAGAGAAAAAAAACTCCCAAGGTGATCGCATTGACGTGCCACAAAATATCTTGTGGCAGGAAGAGGGGGGGAAAAAACAGCAATGCAATTTTTCATGTATGTGGTAATGATGCAAAAAGCAATGCTTCTATAAACAATGCTTTTGTAAAGTTTCAGTGTAATAGAAACTAAAGCTGGAGAGTGCCACTCACAGCCAAAGTAGATTATAATAATTAGGCAGATAACTGACTAGATTCAGTTCATGATTTGGTTTTTCTTTTTTCAAGTCTGTTAATTTTTCTGTAGCTGTCACAATCGATAATCCTGTAACATGCACCAAGGGTGTGTTATGATGTGTCATATTTAAAATAAAAACCTACTAAAAGATGTTAAGCAGAGACAAATAAGGCACTGTGCAGCCTGCCTTTCCATGATACCAACAGCTAAACGAGGAGGCGGAGACTTCCACTAAACTAATGTGCAGCCAAGTTACAAACGGTATTTAAATATTTCAAAGCTCACTATGCATGACCTTTGCTTCATTAATGTGTTTCATGCAAACATCAGAAAGCATGGTACTAGCATCAAACTGCATGAGATTATACTCCAACATTACTACACACTTCACAAGATTTAGCAGGAATGAATTAGCTTTGGAGCCCTGGGAGGGGCCTGATGCTTAATAGCAGATCAGAAAATATATAATATAAAAAATATAAGTAGTATGAAAAATAAAAAGCATGTGTAATGCAGTCAATAAGAGAAAAATTACACACAAGACCGAACAGTTGGCTTAATGGAAAACAGGTGAAAAAGCAAAGTACTTCATTTCATCCCAACACTAGTGTAAAATATTTCTCAATGGTGGTGGGAAAAAAGGATTTTTCACAAACTGTAGAGTGCACTCATTGTTCCTAAATTTCACTTGAACACTTCTCATGCATTATATTCCTCCTCAGAGGCTTTGCTTGTTTTTCTTTCCTCTTGTATCTGTGGTTACCTCAGTTAGGTTCATGATTTCACATCTTTAATAATTAATTTAGAGTTTCATATAAAAGCCACTGATAGTGCACACGGGCAAAACTACAAACTGTATTGTGTTTACAGTTGTGGCATTATACACTTACAGCTGCATTTTTTCCTGGAAAGCTGAAGAAGGAGTCGGGGCCGCTCCTGTGAGCCATGTACTTTAGCACTGACAAAAGCTTCACTGCGTGACGAGGCTGAGGAGAAAACACAGACACATGGGTGTTACTTAAGGCAGCTGATATACTATCAATGTTCAAACAAGCATACACACACAAATATGCACACACTGGTTTTAAACCTGCTCTTCACACATGCAGGCTCCTTCTGCTTGTTCTAAATCTAACTCAAAAACTGCAAAGACCGACATCCTGAGAGATTTCCTCATATTTTCTCAACCCTGTGCACGGCACAGTACGCATATTTAAAATACAATATATCGCTAAGAGTATTCACTCACCCATCCAAATTACTGAATTCAGGTGTTACAAACCCAGGAACTCAGCCACAAAGTAGCAGGCCACATAAAAATCACTGAGTGGGGTCAGCAGATGCTGAGGTGCAGATAATGACAACTTTTTGCAGAGTCAATCACTACTGACCTCCAAATTTCATGTGGCCTTCAGATGAGCTCAATAACAGCCTGCAGAGAGCTTAATGGAATAGGTTTCCATGGGCGAGCAGCTGAATCCAAACCTTACATCATCAAGAGCAATGCAGAGTGCCAGGTGTCGGATGCAGCAGTGTAAAGTAGGGTGCCACTGGACTCTAGAGGCGTGACAAATCAGCCTTCTCTGTCTGTCTCTGCAATCCAATGGATGAATCTGGGTTTGGTGGTTGAAAGGAGAACGGTACTTGTCTGACTATATTGTGCAAAGTGTAAAGTTCTGTGGAGGGGATTATTTTGTGAGGGTGTTCTTCAGGAGTTGGGCTCGGCCCCTTAGTTCCAGTGAAAGAAACTCTTAATGCTTCAGGATACCAAGATATTTTGGACAATTTCATACTCCCAGTTTGGGGATGACCCCTTCTGTACCAAGATGACTACGCACCAGTGCACAAAGCAAGGCCCATAAAGACATGGATGAGCGAATTTGGTGTGGAAGAACTTGCACAGAATCCTGACCTCAACCTGATAGAATACCTTTGGGACAAAAAAAAAAAAGAGCTGAGACTGCAAGGCGGGTGTTCCTGCCCAAAGTAAGTGTCTGACATCACAAATGCACTTCTAAAAGAACAGTCAGAATTTCCTATAAATCCTCTTAAACCTCATGGAAAACCCTCGGAGAAGAGTTGAAGCTGTTATAGCTGCAAAGGGTGGACCGACATCATATTAAATCCTATGGATTAAGAATGTTGCCTCACTCAAGTTCATGTGCACATGAGACGAGTGAATACTTTTGGCAATATAGTCTGTGTTGTATAAATACAAATATGACTGAGTGTTTTTACAAAAGGAAAAGAAAAGAAAGTCATGTTTTAATAGCACAACACAAGCTCCCATGGTCTATCCGGCTCCAGATATTCATAAAGGGAAAAAATGGAGCAGTAGCAAAAGCTGCTTGACAGGGGGAAGTGTGAGGTGAAATTTACAGGCATAAAATCAACTTGGCCCATTTCCTTCACTTGATTAGTGTCAGTGATCAATGGGTTACTCTTCTTCTCTTCCTCGCTTCATCTGTCATCCTTTCTGTGCTACTGATTCTCCCTGGATGAAGCAACTTATCTTCTGTACATGTATCATAAATCTTAATTTCATTGTGGGTATACCTGTGTGCAGCTGCTCAGACAGGATTTATTGTAGAAAATCTTCTCCAACTGTGTAAATACTAAATAATAAGTGTGTTGGCTCGCACGGTCACGATGTGAAAAAAAGCAACCTAAATTTGGACTGTGTGTGTACTCTCAAGAAGCAGCTAATATCAATAATCTAGAGGTGCAAAGACCAGTGAACAGGAGTCATCTGGTTTCACGTGATCTATATTTTCTGTGTGATGAGGGCATTGCCTGTGGGATGGCAGCAGTTTAGGTGTTGCTAGAACATTGCTCATGCGGGCCCCAGACAACCAAGACAGATAACCGTGGCGAGCTTCTGACTCACCCACTGGCCTCGCTCCCCTTGCAACTTGCTGAAGAAAAGCTTCAGCTCTTTAACTGTGATGCTGTAGCTGGCAAGTACACCCAGCATGTCCACCAGCAGGTCTGCAAGGACACACGTACACAAAGAGGACAGAAAAACACAGGCGTTAAACATGGCGGGTTAAAAACAGGCTGACAAGATATAATACAACCTTATTTCCAAAACAGTTCAGCAAACGTGTAAAATGTAATAAATAAATAAATAAATGCAGTGATTTCCAAGTCTCACACTCACATGTTATTCGCAATAGGACATAGAAACCTTATCAAGTGTTTGGACTGAGATGTTGAACTAAATCCTATATCAGACAAGAATAAGGGATTCCTCTTCCAAACGTCCTGCAGCTAGAGTCCTCAGTTCCCACACGTTTACAAACTACTGTTAAAAGAAAAGAGGATGCTACACAGTGGTAAACATGACCTTGTTCCAACTTTTTTGAGACATGTTGCTGCCATCAAATCCAAAATTACCTCATTTTTGTCTTAACATGATACATTTTCTGAGTTTAAACAATCCATGTTCTCTTCTAAATAAAATATGGTTTTCTTAGATTTGAGGTTCATTGCATTCTGTTTTACTGTACATTTTACACAGCATCCTAGCTGTTTTGGAAGTATTATAGTAATACTACCAAATTCTTACTGTATTATTAGCATTACAGTAAGAATTACAGTGTAGCGAACGCTTCGAGCAGCTAAGTAACTAAAAATGGAGACCTAAAATAGACAGGATGCTCCGGGAGAGTCCCAGCTTCTGTGCAGTCTCTTATTAGTCATTATTAATAATGAGCCTAGTGTCAGAAAAGACTAGTGTGCATTGTATGGAAGTTAACGTTTAATATGATTAACTTCTTCCAGCATAAAGATGAACGGCTGTAACATCTGGAAGGACGTTTTCTACATAATATTAAAGTTTTGCTGTTCAATTCTGTACTACAGTGGGGCAAAAAAGTATTTAGTCAGCCACCGATTGTGCAAGTTCCCCCACTTAAAATGATGACAGAGGTCAGTAATTTGCACCAGAGGTAC